CTGGAGGCAGGGTAAAATCTACACCGCCTTGAAAAACTGCCCCTTCGGAGCAGTCAATGGTGGCTTCAGCAAACACCAGATGCGTGTCGACATGCTGACGAAACTAAACTGTTGGGCATTCGGGAGACGCCGCTCTCTCCCCTGAGCCCACTTTCCATTGAGTGGCCCTTCGTTTTGAAAGGCCTCGCGACGGCTAACAAGAATGAAACCACGTGAGCAACCTGGCAAACGATGCGAACAACCAGAGACGGCTTGGGCAGGGCAAGGTATCTGCATTGACTAGCCCTGTTCACGCTCTCCAACAACCGACACAGCCTCGCTAACCACGCGCATACCCAAGCCGGAGAAACGCATCGGAAAATGTGCGAAGGGCTGGCTGTCAGAACGTATGAAAGCCCATCTCACGTCTCCAGTTCGACAAGCCTTCAACGACGTGTAGCCTTGGGTTAGACACAGGAGCACGTTCCATGAGGAGGTTGGTCCAAAGCCTCCGCCACATGCAAGGAGGCAATTCATTAGCAGATATTCATGCTGCTGATCTCGCGTCGCGCAAGTCAAAAAGCAAAACCACTGCCAGCCCTCAGCACTGCTCCGGGCCCATAAAAACCCTCGCAGAATCTATGAAGGATCCCTAATCCTACAGGTCAACCTGGCGTGGAAGCACTAGTCCGGCGAGCACCCTCCCGAAGTTCATCCAAGGGATGCCAAGAGTCATCTTCATGGTGACGCCCGGGGACTGGAACATATGCCTGGTCACAGTACATCATCCGCCTCCCCTGTCTGCCGGTCTACATAGAAACGACTTGATAGCGTGCAGAGGGCTGGGGCTGCACAAAATATCAACAGAACATGGTGAGCTCTACAGATCTCAGCTTCGGTGACATGCAGACGCGAAGCCAGGGCAAAGTCACCGTTCGCGTCGCCGAAGTTTCCTTGGTATACCATTTCATACGCGCATGTTGTATCGACAAGACGATCACTGGACGCAGCACTGAGGACCATGGATGTCTAACAGCACAAGAATACAAATGGCATCGCTTGCACAAGGTCCCCGTACCAGACTCAACGTGTGTACCGAGGCCCTTGTATGCCCTCGCCAAGTAGCCAGAGAGACGGGGCGCAGCCTTGGTCCATCTCAGGAAGCAAAGCACCAAAGAAATCAGCAGCTGCTCGCGCAGCGTATCCGCTGAGCTAAGCAGTTGAGTTTATCTTTTATCCTTTAGTCGAAGCTCCAAATGGCTACGAACGTCAGTCCAGCAGAATACTGTGGACTGCAGACTACGCATGAGAAACGCATGTAGTCATTGTTGTAACTGCTCGTCTTGATTGGCAGACAGAGTTCTCCAGAAAGACGAAGGAAAACTTAAGGAACTTGAGGTGGCGTGCTGGCAGTATGTCTACTCTTACACTCGGGCTCCACCAGGCAAGGGGCACAATGACAAGCCTCTGTCTGATCATAATCTCTGCTACAACGTCGTCATACCAAAGCCTGCCCGACCAGAGGGTGAACATCATTTTTACTAGCACTCCAGCCCCTGACCCAGCCCCTCGTATTGAGGCTGCTGGGTGTGCATAAGGCCAGGTAGTCGGAATCAGAGCGTTTCGGGTTTTAGGGTTCAGCCCTGTGCGATTTTTGCAGGTGATGCCCAGTTCCTATCTTCGGCTTCGGCCCCACAGATGGGCTAACGGTTACGCGACTCTCACTGTCCCCAGAAGCCCGATGCGCAAGGGTCCAAGGCCAAGGCCTGTAAAGGCTTTTAGAGGCCTTTTAGCCTCAAAGACTCAAGTTAGAGATGTCTCAAAACATCCCGCAGCCTTCGTCGCGGGCTGGCTCCTTCCACGAGGAAATCCGGGGCATCATCAGAAGCCTCTTCCCTAATCATTTCGCAAGGAGAATCAAGAAACCTGGCGACTGGCAAGCCAAAGTCATGGACTTTGGGCGTCGGGCTGGAGGGTGCAGGCGAGTAGAACCCCGGCCCTGGGCTTGGACTGCTCGGAGCAGACTTCCTTTGCCACCTTGACTCGGTACTGCCAAAGACCTCGTCGTATGGTTGCATGCGCCACATGGGCAACTCCCATGGCATCACAGGATCGTAGTCACAAGGAGAGGGAGAACCTCGTCGCACCACTCCCTCATATGCCCGGCGAAGTGCTCTCCTGGTCATAACATCGAGCCGCCGAAGTGGGTCGGGAGGGATTACCTCCACCTCTCTGGGTGCATCGGGCGTTGTAGAGATAGCACAGAAACGCTCTTGGCGACTTCCGAAGGGAGGAGGTGTGGAGCCGACTGAGAGAGGCGCCTGCGTCGCCACCTCATCCAGCCAAGCAGAATGTGCTGCCTCCTCGTAATCGCCAGGCCCGGGTGTGCTACATGACACCCGATCTCCAAAGCGCTTCGCACGGTAGAACTCAGGCGATGGAGATCGAATTGACGTGGAGTTCTGCAGGTTTGACTCATAGCTCCCCGGGCCGGGTGATGCACTCTTCCGAGCGATGTGCTGAGAGCCTCGCAGGCCTCGCCCAGAGTCCTGCGAGCTGTCGAAGGGAACTTTCGACCCTGGTCCGCAGAGGCGTGAGGCGAGCTTCTCCGCAAAACCCACTGTTGCATAGTCACCGGGACTTGGCGTACCCTGTCGTTCCCTTGGCGAGGTCTGGCGCTCTGTGCCTGAAGCGAAAGCAGAAGTGCGTCCGGATACTTTGCCCGGAAAACGACGCCTTGGTGAAGGTACTTCTTGTGAGTTGCTGCCGATCCACATAAAGACTTCATCCGCCTTGTCTCGGAAGGCCACGGTTTCATTGCCAAGGAGGCTCTTCATTCGTTTTGGTGGCACCACGTGCTTGCCAGGGCTTTTCGGTACGGCGAGGCTGGCTGTGATGGCGCCATGGCCCTGCCCAGCCTTGCGTCCGCAAGCACAAAGGTCGGCTGCGGCCAGGGCTGTCTCCTCTTGGCGATGCGTACGTTCTCGAAGAGACCTCGTTCGAGCAGCCGACCTCAACGGCAATGAGCGCCGTTGCGGTCGCGGTGTGTCGTAACTTCCTGGGCCCGGTCCTTCGGCTGTGGTTTTCAATCCCTCCAAGCGACTCAGACCCGACCTGAAGCTGGCATCACCGAGAGCCACGCGGTAAGCGGGCTCCCTCCTTCCGTAATAGGCAGGCCCAGGTGTGCACGGCAAGTCGACTGTGCCCCTTTGGCTCGAGCTTAGGAAGCCGGCGGCTTGCGGCGGCTCTTCCCAGTGGCCGGCCAGCTCTGAGAGCGCACAGAGGGATGCCATGGCTCAGGACGGACTGTCGGACTGCATGCGGATTCTACGATGCCGGGAGCAGAAATTGGGGATGAGGGCCGTGAGGTTGAAATTTGAAAGGAACGCGAGGCATGTCCACAACCAACAAAGCCATGAACCACACGGACTCCTCCAGGATCCGAAATGCCACGTCCGAAACTCCGTCGAGACTGCAACATTGTTCTGGCAGAATGCAGAAAAAGCCTTCATCCCGACATATCCCATGCAAGAGAAGCATTCTTTGACCAGAACTGCCGTATCTACGACCAAAGCCTTAATTCCGACAAGCACTCAAGTGCTTCCGACGGAGCGGGCCCGAGATGAGCGTGCCCATCGGCCGGAGTTCTGCCAGGGCCTGCAGCTGTAGGCCGCCATACTGGTAAATGCTGATAGCACTGCAGTGGCTGCTATTGGCCCAAACAGCTGAAGATGTTCGAAGATGCTCAGGCTCCCAAGTCTTTTGTCGGTGTCAAGTTGGTCAGAACCATGGGTTGCGCCTCCGTCTTTCTCATTGGCCTCGGTGCAACCCACGTTCTGTCAAAGAAAGCTGCACTGCAATTCCAGTCTCAGCGGCTGATCCAGTGGGGTAGTGCCTGCCACCTTATCTGGACCATAGTTGGCCATGTCCAGACCTTATTGATGTGACGGAGATGCAAGCGATCTGGCAATGGGAGTGCAGGATACTGGGAATGGAAGCTGACCAGCCTTGAGCTTGCCCTGCAGACTTGGGACTTATGGCTGACTGCACGCTCGAATTTGCATCTTGAGACTCGGCCATGTTCGAGCTCCGGGGAAGGACCACGTACAGTGCTGAATTACAGGAAAGTTGCTGAAAAAGTGCTCGTCCAGGTAGGGAAGCTGGAAAATAACCTGCGTCGGCACGTTGCCGGGAGCGGCTACCAGCTACCATCGACAATGTCTGCAGTCATTCCGCCATGCTGGTTGAACCTCATTCTAGCGGCTCTAAGAGGAGCTGGTCCAACGCGACATGCATTTGTCGGGAGTGCTCTGATGCAGCACAGGCACCGAAGACGTCCACAGCAATTAATCATTACTGCACATTCTTGCACAACCGAACGCTCGATCATGGTGCGGCAGTGTTGGAACCAGCCAATGCAGCGATGCAACCGTCTCGACAAGCTGCTCCTGCTGAGGGTGGAGCTTTGTCGGGTTCACGTATCTCTTAGAACCTCGCCGTGCTTTCCGCAGGGTCGACCTTACCTTTGCATAGGGGTTAGACCACAGGCTTTCGCCCTCGCTTTGCGGGAATGGAAAAATCTAGCAATTGCGGGCCGGATCGACCTGCAGCTGTGTGAGATTCACATCAAGTCTGAAGAAACCCTGTCGAGAGGCCAGAGGGACAAACACAGTCCTGGCTTTGCGAGAAGTTCAAGAACGCGTCCGGTGCGAGACAGTCCTGTCTTCTCGCATTTTTCGCGACAAGCAGCGTAATGAGAATGCATGACAACCATGTGCATTCCTTGGCCAAGCTGTAGAAGCCGGCACACAGGAAGTTCTCCACTTCCTGGCCCCAGGGGTTGTGCTTCCAGAAACAAGGCAGGAACAAGGCCGTCAACGAAGCACGCAGGCAAAGACATGCCTCTGGTGGCTTGATCAGGGCATCCGGAGCTTGCAAGTGTATGCCCAACCTGGCGACCCGAAGCAAGAAGCGAATCGCTGTGAGCGTCCTCTCAAGGCCTCCGGATACTGCATCTCTTCTCCAACTGGGTCAGTGGCAGCATGAAGGTAAAGAGGCCGAGGGAATCCTTCCCAGTTGCGGTCGGAATGCACGCGTCCCAATCGCGACCCGAGCAGGAGTCGGGAGCATCCTCCAGACCCATGGCAATTACCACCTCCTCCAGCTGAAAAGCTTCGCTCGCCTTTGCTGCAAAAGCAGTTCCCAGCAAACGCACGCGAAGGTTTCTTTCTCACCTGCTGCTGCATTTGTGTGTACACTTCCAAGCTGTCCTTTCATCTCACTGTTCCTTGCCACCGTCGAGCGGCGGGATCCAGCAAACGAAGCATCCTCATTGCATGCTTGGACCCGGCAAGCTGAAACGTCAGGACGACGTACTCAATGCAAATGCCTGTTGCCAGCTTCCTCTCCGTGTTGCGAAACTATGCTGCACTGTGCTGCATATCCCCGCGCACACATCTTTTCGTAACGATGACGACACTCCTGTGCTTACCAACGCTCGCTGCACCCTGGCACCCTCGCTCCTGTGGAACCATGCAGTCTGTGAGGCTGCTACAGGGGTCCTGCTATGGCATGTCCCTCTATCGGCACGAATCAGACCTCTAGCTAGCTCGATATGCTAGGGCTAAGGGCGCGCTCTGTTGCCTGGGGAAGGGGACATCTCTGCACCGCTTTCGTAGACTCAGAAGTTTTTCCTTGAGCCCGGTGCGTTGTCTTGCAACGTGCTCCAACCCAATATCGTCAGCTGATTTTGTGCAAGTTTGGGTGCGAACACACGATGTGCTGGCGCTCATCTATCTCACAGCCATGCCGGCCACGGCGCGGTGCCGAGATCGTACCCAGGCGCCTCAAGGCGGGTGCCCCGCGCAGGGCCGTGGCCATGTGCAGGAGTGCACCTGCTCGTTTCCAAACCCGAAGCAGGGAGCAACCTCCAACCCCCGGCATGTGAGCAATGCGAAGGCGAACACCGATTAACCAGCGCACTTTTGCCTCCGGACAATCCGGCGAGAGCATCCATCTGGAGGCGAACGAGCCTTTGGAAGATGCCTCCTGCAAAGATCTGCGCAGATCGGAGGCTTTGGCTTAGCAACTGATCACTGGTAAGCACACCAAGGAGTTTGGAAGAAAGGGTGGGCAGGCTTGTGCTTCCGGTGGCTCTTGCTTCGGTAATCTTTGCTTGTTCCCTTAATGTTGTCTTTTCGTTCCTTGCTTCCCTCTTTGCTCCTTCCCCGTCATAATGTTTGTGCAAGCAGAATGAACAGGCACGCACATGCTTCCTGTGTGACTTTGGGCAGCTGAGCTTCTGTGAGCCAAGCTGAGACCTTTATCAATGACCGCTGCCTTCGCCGGCGAAGGGCATCGTCAGCAGGTTGGCGGCCTCAGAGCTGAGAGCCTTTGGCTCCTTTGACGGCGCATTCGCGACACCCAACACGTTCAAACAGGACTGTACAGGAACAAAAGCAGATCTCCAAGAATATGAGCTGCAACTCGCATCCTCAACACGCAAATGGCCGCGACAGCGACAGATGCACAGACTCTCACACGCTTGAGCAGCTCCCTCCGGCGAGCACATAACACTAGGATCGAGCTTACTGCGCTGCAGCTAAGGCTCAAGAAAGTAGCTACCCTCCACCCCTTCTCCATGTGCCGTGCCTGGCAGGCCACTTCACATCACTTCAGGGAGGCGAACATGGTGCGCCTGGCCTGGAACTTCGTGGAAGCTGATGCGAAAATCAGGCAGGGCCACCTTGCTGAAAGGGCGCACAAAGCAGCTCCATTGGAAAAGTCGGGAGGGACCGCGTAGCAAACTTCGCCTTCTCCAAATGTGACATTTGACATGACCATGAAATTGGCGGCAAAGTGTCAAATTTCGAGAGGCACAGTGGAGGCAGCAGGCTTGGGAGCATATCCAGATGTAGCCGCTCAAGGTTCGGAAAAAGTCTGTAAATCCTTAGTTGAACGCGCGAGTACAACGGGTGGGGTGTCTCCCGAAATCATATTTACTTTGATGACTTTGATGCGAACGTCAAACTGTTGCAACCATAAGGGTTGGAGAGCTGCATGTCGACAGCCAGGCCACTCGCAGAAGGCGTTTTCAGATAGCGCCGCTGCAGGCTCCCCTGGATCGCAGAGCGGCTGACTTGAATCTTCTTGAGAACCAACGGAGTAAGTCCGAGTCTTACATAAACCGATCACGCTTTGAGGCTGAAAATGGGTTGAGGTTGAGTGCCGATGAAGGGAGGGGACATCAGAGTTCTCGATATTTCTCGCAAGCCAGGAGGCAGCAGAATACTTTGACTCTGGTGACTTTCGGGAGCGTCAGCCCTGGCGGGAATCCACAGATCCTGGGTGTCAGTACGCTCCAGTGCGCCCGGAAACGCAGAGCCGGGTGGTTGCCTGAAAAGCATCCAAGGTTCTGCTGCAGTTTCATCTCTATAGCCACAACCTCATACCGGAAGCTACAGGTGGTTGCTGCCCTGCCCAGAGAGCACGAGAGCTGGCTTGCAGTGGGCCAAAACCACGTCGAGTCGCATCGGAGAGCTGCTCGGCCCTTTCCAGCAAAACCCAAGGCATGCCTGAGGTCACAGTGTGGGAGCATCTCCGAGCAACACCCTGGATATGCTGTGGGAAGAACCCTGTGTGCCCAGAAAAACGATGCATTCGCCCTGCATCCGCCAGACATTTCATCGGACATTTGCTGCAAGGTCGTCGGAACTCTGCAAATCGGATACTCTTCTGAACTTCTTGATTTGATGCAAAGCGGCAGCCATGCAGCTTTGTCGTGCATGTTCGCAATGGTAATTCAAGGAAATCCACGTTCGCCGTGTGGCACACGCACTGAATCTGCCCAAAAGGCAGGACACTTCCGAGAATCACACAACAGGCTCAGAAGATCAGCATCTGCGGCCTGTTCGCATTCGTCCCACTTGATCATCGGCGCAAGCCTGGACTTTGTGCCATACGTTCAAGCGACTGAAGGAACAGACTTAGCTTTGTGCTGCAAGGCATCTTTAGCAGGAGCCGGAAAAGCGACACCTTCTCCAAGGGTGTCTCACCTTCCAAAAAACTGCGACCGACAAGCTGCATGGAAAACATTCGCGTTAAACTCGTGGAGCAAGCAACTACGAGTCTGCAGGCCAAGACGCGCAACGGGCACCGACAATATATCGGCAGAGGCCCGCTCACCGGAGCCTGCACACTTTGACGCTTCGACATCGGCTCAAGACACGAAATTTTCTCAGATCCAAGCCCTCTGTCACACCGTCACTGGCGAAGCCATGCTACGCAGGTATATTCTGAAGAGATGCGAGGGCAAGAGATAGACGCAGGGGGAGGCCTCACATGACAAACAAGCAGTTGCTGGCTGCAGTGCTGCACTCCCCTTCACCCACAATCTCCCCGTGCCCGACCGCGACGTGGCCTGCAGCACTCTGATGCGGGCTCCTTGGCAGGTAAACAGAGGACTGGGAACCACCAAGTCGCCCCCACCTAAACTCTGTGAAACGGCACCAGAAATGCGCGCTGGCCCGTGTTTCTGCTCAAGCCCTCTTCTGATGTCTTTGCCAATTGGAGGTGCCACGAAGAGGGATTCCTTTCTCGACATCTCTCCATGTAGCTGTCGTCTGTGGCGCACGGTAGCTGCAGCAGGATCCCTACTGTCTGCCATAAAATACAAACTGCTCGGCTCGGCTCGGGAATCGAGGAATCGAGAGACAATGAAGAGCCCAGGAGCTCTGCACCCGGCGCTGCACCACGGCGGCTGTGCCGGCCCGCGCCAAGGGCTCGGGTACTTCCTAAGCCCCGGCAGCTCGCAGTCGCTGACGCGTCGGCTCAAAACCAAAAACGGGTCACATATCCTTGCAATCAGCTGCCAGGAAGCAAATTTCAAACGAATGCATACAGAGGAGGATAAGACTGCGCGGAGCTGGCGCGAAGCACAGAATAAACATCTGGAGTCTGCCACCTTAGGGGCATGGCAGCTGACGAAGTTGGTCGGAGGCCATGCGCCGAGGCCCAGGACACCGTGAGTCCTACAAAATCTGTATCACGTGAAGCACATCACAGGCCACAAGGCCACAAGACAAGGCCACAAGTCACCAGTGCATCTAATGGGTGCTCAGTCGCCGCCAGATGATCTGGAATGGGCACCTCGACTTGCGGCGCTGTACATCAGAGGCTCATCACTGATGAAAATCTTCTCGGCTCTCTCCACAGCTGTCTCGGAGTACTGGAAGGGTTGCTAAACTGCTACCAGTAACTACATCTCTGCCAGGTGACATGATAACTCTAGCAGCCGATGCCGGATTCAAAGGCCTCTCGGCACCACACACACTTCTCAACAGGGGACTCGTCGCTTCAGCAAGCGCCGCAGATCCGGGGCTGCCTGACGACAGGGTCTGTGTAAATGGGTTTGGAAGTCGTGAAGAGTTCGCTGGGCATACCGCATACCTTCGTGCAAAAAAATCCACCCCGCTTCAACCCGCCCCCAGCCCCCCTGCCAAAAAAATGACCTGCAAGATCCCATGGCTGCGTTGACCTGCAGCAACCGATACATTTCTGTGTAATGAACGTATGTATGTGTATGCATGTAGCATGTAGCATGTATGAGGTAGGTAGGTAGGTAGGTAGGTAGGCAGGCAGGCAGGCAGGCAGGGAGGGAGGTAGGTAGGTAGGTAGGTAGGTAGGTAGCCAAGTAGGCAGGTAAGTAGGCAGGCAGGCAGGTGTATGTAAATATTACAT